GTGTTGCCCCCCACCCCATAGCCGAGGAGCCCCGTGGCCGTGGAGGGGCGGGTGCTGCTCAACATGGAGCCCCACACCAAGGGCTGGATGGACTCGACCGCCCACAAGGGGGGGGGGGCGGGGCCTATGGGGCCAAGGGGGAGGAGCTACGGCCACCGAGGGGGCTCCGTGGTTGGGTGGGGGTGATTGATGGAGCTGCTGGGTAGCTGTGGGTCTCCGTGTCCCTATGGGTCTTCTATGGGTCTCCATCTCCCTATGGGTCTCCTAGGTGTCCTGGAGATCCCTATGGGTCTCCTATGGGGCCACCTGCTCCCTCTGGGTCCCCAGTGGGTCCCCCCGTCTCTATGGGGCACCCCCCACAGCGCCCTGGCCTAATGCTGCCCCCCTTGAAGCTCTCCGGGTTGACGTCCTCCACCCCGAGATGATCCTGGCCCATCTCTGGAGCCAGCTGGGGCCTCGGGGGTGCCGTTTTGGGGCAAATTGGGGCATTTTGGGGTCTTTTGGGGGATCCTGGGGATTTGGGGGGCTGGCAGTTAGGGAGACATCCCTGGAAGAGGACCTGGTGGCCACCAAATCCCCAGGGAGATATTTTGGGGGGAGATTCATTGAATTTGGGGCATTTTGGGGGTATTTTGTCCATTTGGGAGGGTATTGGGGGGTATTTGGGAGGTACCAAGGTACCATTCCTGCCAAAGGACCTTTCGGTCACCGCATCCTGAGTGTGTTTTGGGGGGCTATTGGGGATATTTTAGGGGGAGAATTGGTGTTTCGGGGTGTTTGGGGAGTATTTAGGGGTATTCTGGGGTATTTGGGAATATTTGGGGGGTATTTTTGGTGTCTGGGCCCCATCCTCCCAGGAGAACCTCATGGCCTCTACGTCCTGGGGGGTATTTGGAGCATTTTGGGGGTTATTCAGGGTGTTTGGGGGGTATTTTGGAGGGTTGTGGTGGTATCTGAGGACATTTTGGGGGTAATCGTGGAGATTTGGAGTATTTAGTGACATCTTCAAATGGTCACCACCCCTGGGCCCCAATATTGGTCAAACTGGGGGTATTTGGGGTAGTTTCTTGGTATTTTGGAGTCTTTGCAGTAACTGGGGGGGACTTGGGGACCCTGGGCGCCATCTTGGCAGGAGAAGCTGGTGGCCGACGGGTTAATGGGGGCCATGGGGGGAACTGGGCCAATGGG